CTAACACAATTAATTATTACTACTTAGGATAATGGGTAAAATCTTTGTTTAGAGTTGTTGGATGTCCAATATGTTCTTATCACAATAGATCAACCACATACACAAAAATCTATTTCCAAAATACATGATTTATGTTTGATGAATGCTGAAGAATGAAATTAAAATCCAATTCTCGTTCTCTTTAAACGAGTAGGTAGAAAATTAGAAGCGGATTAACGTAAATTCCTTTACGCGACTTGTACACAATGAGTTTAAAGGAATATGGAAAACAAAGTACAGAGGGAGGGACGAATGATGATAATATAGGTTGAATTAAGGGCCATCATTGCAACAACAAAAAACTTTGAACTAAGGTTTTTATGAACACCGTGCCCTCTTATTGTGAGCCTACCTGGTACACATGTACTTTTATCCAACTTTTCCAATCATTAAACTACCAAATTTGGAAATAAACCAGTACACACACGTAATCACATTTTCTTTTCATTAACCGAATCATCTACATTACATTCCGATACAAACTTAGTATGCAAAGTATGATATAAATTTCCAAAATAAACATGAATCAAACCCACTATTTAACATTTTACACAACTTTACGAAACCAAAAACCATGAATCAGATCCATTATTTCATCTTAATTTTTGTCACCAACAAATTAACCATCAACCAAACAATCCTTATAAAACGATTCATTTTTCGACTTTATGAAACAAGAAAGTTGTTGTCGACTTCCATGAAACTCATGGAACGCAGTCCTATGATGACATCCATTGTCATTCAACACATTAATGGATCAACTCAAGCCAAACAATCCACATATTTATTACTATTAATGGATCAAATCGACCAAACAATCCACATTTAGTAGTATGCCTTCAAGTTAATTGTCATTTTCAAAGTTATCAGCTATAGAAACTAAATGAGTGTTTTGGTACAAGGAAATAAAACCAGAGAAAAAGAATTGATTTTTTTCTCTTGTTTCGTCAATACAAGAAATAAGGATTTGAGACACCGAAACTCTTATAAGGAAGATATTGTTGAAGAGACACAACAAACTGTCAGTGTCAATAGTAAACGTAAAAGGCCTCCAACTGATGACATTGAAAACTCTTATAAGGAAGCAGCAAAACAAATAAGAGAGACATTCAAGGAGGTTAGTGAGCAGCTGACTGAAACATTATACAATATAAGAAGACAAGAAAATAAGGAAGCATTTGATATGATAGAAAAAGTTATTGAAGATATACAACGAATGCCAAATATTAATGTCAAACAACGAATTAAGACAATTGACATATTTAGCAAAGTTCAAATTGTGCCCAATTGTTTTTTAAGATGACAGAAGAAGAAAAAGATTTGTTATATGGAAATGATTGTGGATGGCTCAGTATCATGATTAATCTATTTTAAGTTATGTTTTTTTTTAGTTTTTACAAATATTAAAGTTGACTCTTTGCACATCCTATATTAGACATAGTTATGTTTTTTTAGTTGTTACGAATATTGAATTTAACTTTTTGCACATCCTATATTTGACATAGTTTTTAAGTAATATGATATTTATATTTATTTAAGTTTGGATCTATTTGTAACTTATTCATTTAAATATGTTTTCAAATACAAGATGTATATAAAATAACAAGAAAATAAGTTATTTTGTAACAAGTAATGTTAAAAATGAAAAATTATAAACATAACAAATACATATTTTAACAAATTAAGATATATATCATAATGCACATTTATAAAAAAAAATATTGTTTGAAAAAGAATAAACAAATTACAAAAACCTCATTTCCATTTCACTGCTTAATACAACCAAACAAGAGAACTTAGGGAAAATGACTTGTAAGGGTAACAAAGTATCAGAATTGTACAAAAAATATCATTGAATTTTTTTTTGTACACATATCGCTAACCAACTATAACGTTTGTACACGTATGACCATTAAACTTCACATTTGTTCAAAAATACCATTACGTTACCGGTAATAGTAGGTCATCAGCCACATGGTATACCACGTGAATTTTACTGTTTATTATGTACACATTATACCATTAAACCTTTTTATACACATTATACCATTAAACTTTTTTTTTGTACACATTTTACCATTATACTTTTTTGTACACATTTTACCATTAATCTTATATAATTTATTCAAAAAAATATCATTTCAAAAAATATATATTGTTACATAAAAATGGGTTTTCCATCACCTATTGTGACTCCCTGATTTTGTAAGTTTTGGGGGAGAGGGTTCGCTTTTGACAATGATACTAAGCACTACTTTTTACAATTGCATCGCATATTTATGTTGGTCATACATCGATTGAAACCCACAAGGTTTAAACTTGAGACTTCCCTGTGGAGTGCCCAAAGAAATACTTAATTATTCATTATTTTAGCTAAAGTTTAATAAACTTACCTTTATAAGTCATTTTCCTATCGGTAAACGACATAATTTCAACGTACTTTTCTAATCATCACCCATAATCAAGAAGGGAGGGGGGGGGGATTCGAAATCTAATATAATGGATAATAAAGTATTTATATATTTATACATTTAAATGTATTAAACTTCAACTAAAATAAAGGATAATTGAATATTTATATATTTATACATTTAAATATAATAATATATACTACATGACCAACATATGGTTTTCAAATGTCAAAATATGTATTTATGCGTTGAAATATCTATTTATACATAAAAAACACATATTTATTTTAAATATGTTTTATATGTATGTAAAAATACGTATTTATACATTGAAGTATTTTATGGTTACTTGTAAAAAGACTTTATACTTATATAATAATGTTAAATTGCCATCTTTGTGGCTCGTTGGGTAAAACTTGTGCACTTCAGATGGAAGTCTCAAGTTCAAACCTTGTGGGTTTCAATCGATGTATGACCAACATAAATGTATGATGCAGTTGTAAAATGGAGTGCTTAGTATCATTATCAAAATTGAACCCTCTCCCTCAAACCTTACAAAATCAGGGAGTCACAATAGGTGATTGAAAACCCAATTTTATGTAATAATATGTATTTTTTGAAATGCTATTTTTTTGAATAAATTATATAAGATTAATGGTAAAATGTGTACAAAAAAAGTTTAATGGTATAATGTGTACATAATAAACAGTAAAATTCATGTCATCAGCCACGTGACATGCCACATGGCTGGTGACCTACTATTACCGGTAACGTAATGGTATTTTTTGAACAAATGTGAAGTTTAATGGTCATACGTGTACAAACGTTATAGTTGGTTGGCGATATGTATACAAAAAAAGTTCAATGATATTTTTTGTACAATTCTGATACTTCGTTACCCTTACAAGTCATTTTCCCGAGAACTTATTCTCAGAAACATTTCTCTAGTTAATTATCGGTTGTACCAAATAGTGGAGTCAGTTCTCTTTCTCCAACTTAATTCTCTTTTATCTGCATTTCCATTCTTTGCTGCAATTCTATTTCTTTATACCAAACGCATCCTTACAAACTTTAACCATTACATTTGATGAAAGTTAGAAGAATGAGAATGAAACTCACATCTCGTTCTTAAATGACCAGATGGAAAAAGATAGATGTAAAATGACGTAAATTCCCTTGTATGACTTACGGATAAGGGGACCTAACGCCATATATATAACAATAAAGTGGGGAAGGAAGAATGAACAATGATAGTATAGTTTGAATTAGGGATCATTGTTGCAACAAACAAAAAATATGTTTCCTCCTTGGAATAAAAATCAGTTCATCCCTGAATAAATAAAAAAAGCATCATTCATCCGTTGAATTACAAAAGAAGAAATCACATTCCGTAAAAAAACACTTCAATTCATTCTTTATATAAGGCTAAAAGGTATGGTTTTGAGATTATTACGCGTTTAAGGGCTGCTACATCATCCAAATAACCACTTCACTACATGTCTACTAGCATTGGGGATGGTGTTCAATAGTGAACATAGAGAGAGAGAGAGAGAGAGAGAGAGAGAGAGTAGCCAATAAGAGTCTCTGCCTTTTTGCTGAGCCAATAAAAATCTTCGTAAGCCTCCGTAATGCATATCACTCCACATCATAACTACTAGTGACAGGGGCGATGTTCACTAGTGAACATCTATGCCACATTAGTTTTTGACGCATGAAAACCCAACCATACCTCAAAGGCCTAATTGTTTTTATTCCGTCGAAATAGTCCATTTTACTTTGATTGGTTTTTATTATTATTATTATTATTATTATTATTATTATTTTTGGAACAGACCAATATACTATTATATATATTAAAGTTGTGGAAGAAAGGAATTGTGAAGTTGGCATACTTTGTCCAGGTTTGGTCCCTTGATTTACATATCCGGTCCCTGTACTTTTTTAATTAATTTATTCATGTCCTTT